CTTTCCCTGGCGGCCAGAGCGCCGGGGGGAGGGCGGAGAGCCCCCAGTGGCCAGAGCGCCGGGAGGAGGGCGGAGAGTCCGGCCGGGGCTCTCCGCTGTCCCCGGCGACCAGAGCGCCGGGGGGAGGGCGGCGAGCCTGGCCGGGGCTCTCCGCTCTCCCCGGCGGCCAGAGCGCTGGGGGGAGGGCGGCGAGCCCGGCCGGGGCTCTCCGCTCTCCCCGACCGGCCGGAGCACCGGGGGGAGGGCGGCGAGCCCGGCCGGGGCCCCGCTCTCCCCGGCCGCCGGAGCGCCGCAGGGAGGGCGGCGAGCCCAGTCACGGCCCCGCTCTCAGGCCGGAGCGCCCCGCCGTGCCACCTCCCTCCAGGCACCGCCCCAAGCACATGCTTGGTGGGCTGGTGCCTGGAGCCGGCCCTGCTCCTATAATCTGAGCTCCCTGGAGGACTACATCTCCCATAATGCAACACAGATTTCACTCTAACCAAGCTCTGTATGGCACATCATGGGAGATGTAGGCCAGTTTCCCTGCCTGGCCTACCATAGATCAAAATGGGGGCATCGACCTTCTGAGCTGCCTTATTGGAGTTGTAATGTAGTATAATGGGAAATGCAGTTGAAAATGATTTTAAACAAACCACTTTGCTTCATTTCAACAAATGAAAATGAAACATTTCAGTTTTGTAAATGTCAAACTATTTCATTTGAAAACTGTCAAAACAAAACATTTCAACATTTCTGAATCAGTTATTTTGGAATTTCTATTCCACAGAAAAATTCAAAATTTCTACCTTGTGTGCCAATTTGGGGTGAAAACAAATGTGTTGAAATGTCTGGATTTCCTGCAGGATGGAAATTTCAAAAGTCACTCAACTCTGACTTGAAGCATTAAGTTCAAGGGGAGCAGAATTAGACCAACAATAAGCACTTTTGAAAATTAAACCCCTACGACACTGTATTTCTGCCAGTTCATACTCTTTAAAAATCAGTGATTTGAGACCTTCGATATCAAGAACCTAATTTCAGGGGAAAAGGTGTTAGAAAAATCTAAATCAGCTTTCTTCCTTCCTTATACCAAGTGTATTAACAAATGTAAGCGATCTCTGATACTACTGCACACGTTGGTAACTCTCTTCTACTGTGGCAGTTATAGAAAAATACTAACTGACGCTGACTCCTCTCTTGAAATGGAATGGCTACTTCTGTAAGTAATGGTTGAATTTGGACCTGAAACAAATGTTTTCATCAGATCCTAGTAAACCAATTATCACTCAGAGAAAAGTTGAATGTCAGTTTCACAAATCGGGGAAAGAAGGAAGGAGCAGGAAAAACATTAAATAATTGAGCTAGAAAATCCTCATGGAATACTTAGATGCATAAGGTCTGCGCTTGTCTTACCTCAAGAACGGGGCACATTATTTCTGCTGTGGTGCCTCCTTGTTTTTCACAGAACTTATAAAAAGCCTCGAGATAAGACTAAACAAGGGAGGAGAAAAAGACACATTTTATATAGAACTTCATTAAGGCCCCAGTCCAGCAAAGCACATAAGCATGTAGGTACCCCAGTTGAAATTGATGGGACTACTTACATACTTAAAGGTAAGCATGCGCTTAAATGCTTTACTAGATTGAGCTTGAAAAATTAAAATGTCTTCCTCTTAAAATGTTAGTAACATCTAAAGGATGTAATGGAGCAAATACTGCACTCTCCCTGCTCTCCAAAGAAGGTGCTGAAGACCTTTGGACTCCAGATCCAGTAAGCTTCCACTGCACAGGAAGCAGATGGCTGAGGGAAACTCAGCAGTCCAATGCAGAGGAGGGGTTTGGGGGCAGGTACTAAAGCTGTGGGTCTGTAACTAGGAGGATACATGAGCTAATCTCTGCCCCATGCTTCTCAAAACCCTGAGTTAGGTCACATCAGCCAACAAAGCTACTGCAGCTTGGGGCTGTACAGCACATCCACTGCAACTGTGACCTGGTGAGGAGTCTCACTCCAACTGCCTTGGAACTTTCTCAGCACATGACCTGTTTAGTGAAACCCCTGTGTGCCCAAGAAGTAAACTTTGTGTTAGTAAATATTTTTCTGAGTTACATGCTGGTTTTTTTCTAGGATCCCCTCTAAGGGCATTGTTACTATTACGTTGTGGAAAGACATTTGCTACAACATCACAGAATCTTATTAAAGGAAGCTGTCACCAGCACCACATAATAAACAGCTAATCATAAATGGAGGCAACCTATTGAGAATCTGTCTATGGGGTTCCATGATCGACCCAGTACAATACCATCTGGAGGAAGGGCTAAACAATTCATTGATAAAATTCAGAGCTGACACTAAACTGAAGGCAGAGAAGGAGGGAATTTTTAATAATTTAGAAGATATTGAATGATCCCCCAATAATGTGGAGGAGTGAGAAGAGAGGGATATAAAGAGATTTAACAAGGATAAATGCAAAGTATTGCACATAGGATATAAAAATTAAAGCTATATATTATAAAATGAGAAATGAGTGGCTGGACAGTAGTAATATGGGAGAATAAAAACCCTGGGTGTAATTGTTGATGGAAAGGTAAATATGAATGGTAATAATGCACTGAATATTTAAAAAGCAAATGCAGATTTGGGAGGTATAAATAATACTTGTAAGACCAAGTGAATAATTTTTCCCTTTTGCACCATTATAGGAATACTGCATACAATTTGGGTCATCAACTGTAAAAGGAAGAAAGAATATAGCTGAACAAATAGGATACTAAAAAGTTTGAAGAGAATGGATTAGGAGGAAAATTTACAGGAATGAAATATGTATAGTCTGGAAATATGATATGGTCCTATGTACTAATTAATATTTGTAAAGTACTTAGAAGATGTAAATTACTTATATATGCTACAGTAAACATCCGATAAGTGAAGAATGAGATACTACAAAGAAGAAATGGTTCTCACAAGCTGCTGTAGCAATGCTACAGACTAGAAAAAGCAAGATTAAAATTAAGCAAAACACTTAGATTAAATGTAGAGCTGGTTGATAAAATTCACACACTTCATCAATTTTTCCCTTTTGTCAGCATTCAAAAATGTACACTATAACTTCAAAATTTGAAAAAATTCAGTCAGCTCTACTGATCATAGACAATGTCAATAATGAACTCTACTAAATGGAATTTAAAGTGGTAGAATCAAAGTAATTCGAAATCTTCAAGTTAATTACCTTTTGTAAATAAGAGAAATGTTAGTCATGCCAAAAATTGTGGGAGTCTAGAAAACCTACTATGGATGTCTTAAGATCCAACAATGCTGTTATGTTTGGTTGACAACTTAAAATGACTTTTTGCTTACGAATAACTAATAGATTAAGATTAGGATGACCAGACAGCAGGGCCTCCCAGAGAGGGGGGCAAGTGGGGCAATTTGCCCCAGGCCCCGGGCTCCGCAGGGGCCCCCACGAGAGTTTTTCGGTGCCCCTGGAGCGGGGTCCTTCACTCGCTCCGGGGCCCCGGAAAACTCTCGTGGGGCCCGGGCCCCCGGAGCTTCTTCTGCTCTGGGTCTTCAGTGGCAATTCGGTGTCGGGGGGTCCTTCCACTCCAGGACCGCCGCCTAAATGCCCCGAAGTCCCGCGGCGGGGGGTCCTTCTGCCCCTGGACCCGCCGCCGAAGTGCTGGGTCTTCGGCAGCAATTCGGCGGCGGGGGCTCCCCGCCGCCGAAGACCCCAGGCCTGCTGAATACTCTGGGCGGCCCTGCCAGACAGCAAATGTGAAAAATCAGGACAGGGGTGGGGGATAATAGGAGCCTATATAAGAAAAAGACCCCACAATTGGGACTGTCCCTATAAAATCGGGACATCTAGTCACCCTAATTAAGATACTAACTTATACCAACGGCATTTTCATTAGTGAGATTTTAAAAAATAGAACCTGATGATAGTTTTCAAATTCTAGATGTTCTATCATTTTCTTGTGATTTTTTTTTTTTACTTTATAGGAAGTTCGCAGTATAGTATTCTAAGAAGCACTTACCTTGTACAGTTTGTTTCGCATTATTTCAATGTTCATTTCGTCCAAGTCATTTTCAGACAAGCAGCCTTGAAAGAAAGGAGCTGAAAGCAGAATATGTTAAATTACAGAATAAATTCATATGGAGATATGTGAGCATCCCTGACCAGTAACAATCTACCAATTTTGTGGTAGCGATCAAGGAATTGTGGTTTCAAGAAAGGGTAATTTGAGGGGGAAGTGGGAAGAGAAAAAGGAAGGTAAATATGTGAAATCCTCTTAATTTTTCTCTTTATACTAGGATTCTGCTGCAAGGGGAATCAATCTAGCTGTCAGTGCCCAAATCTCCAGAGAGCATCAGATGGGAATGGCTAACAGAGTAATTCTTTTAAGGCCCTAACCTACTCCCTAGCATTTAGCACAAGTAGTTGGGCTGGGCTTTGGGGAGATTTCCAGAGGAGAGTGAAGAAAAGAATCTTCCTTTCCAGGTCATGGAGCTGCTCTGCAGAGGGTACTCAAGCCCAATTGGTGGTGTAGCCTCCCTTCCCTAGCCATACTCCTCTGTGTGTGTTTTTGTATATGGGGAAGGATCCTCCAGCCCCAATCTTTCCCCAGTCCATCCCTGCTCTAGCTCCTTTACACAGGGAATGCCTACAGAGTTGGGCTCAACACAGCGCATAGGGTGCACATAAAATCCTATCCCACTTTGTGCAGTTGAATAACTTAAAATTAGAATAAGTGTAACTAACAAAGCTATGCCAATTGTTCACCATATTCCTTTGCTTGTATATTGTATCCACAACCTCATCCCTTGGTCTGTTTTATCTTTCGATTGTAAACTATTCAAGGCAGGGATTGGCTCTTTCTGTGTTTGTACTTTTCCCAGCACAATGGGTGCCTACAACCGACTGAGGCTTTTGGGCCCTGCCATAAAATAAATATTTAATAATAACAACGGGTGCCATTACCAGGGACCTTGGCGCCTAAAGAGGCATGGGCAGGATTTTGTCCTAAATGATTCACTTACGCTGTTGGCATATGTTTATAGTAAACCTTGAAATAACAATTCAACCATTATCAGAGTCACTTGATATTTCTGAAAGTAAGCTATAAAAGTCTGATCTAGTGTAGCATGTTTTCTATATGTGACTGCTATCCAGGTTAAATAAAAATTGTTAATCAACTGTCTTATTTTATAGTTGTTTTGTGAAATGCACAGAATACCACTTCAAAACTGCATCTTGTCCTGCAATGCAGTTGCCAATTACTCATAGGTTAAATTATCAAATCATATAATATCTGGTGAAACAACTGCTGGTGTGATCTGAAATGAAATTATCAGGAATATGTGAAGAGGAGCATTTGTAGACAAATCATTATATTTTCATACCTAATGGTGTGTCAACCAAAATTGCATTGAATAGCTCTGCAGGGTTTGGGGCAATGCTGACTGCTTCCATTTGCTCAAAACTGCCCAAAGGGTGGCACTTCGGAACAAGTTCAGCTATGGGTCGCTGATGCAGTGTACCAGTTATCAACAGAATCACGTTGTCAATCATATAGCTGTACCTGAGTTTGAAAAAAAAGTTACAAAACAACTTGATTTATTTCTTAAATATAAAAGAAACCCTACAGACCTAAACCACCAAAATACTTGCTCTGTTTTCATCTATTCAGATATCAACATCTCACAGACAGAAAAATGACTGCTAGATAACATTAATTTTGAACGCTGGTGTTGCTTTGATATATAAGTGCTTTTGGATTTATTCTAAAGAAAGGACTAAGTATGAATGTAAGGTAAGTCTTCTTATGCAGCATTGCAGCCTTAGGATGTGATTTTGATTTAAAATCTACTAATACATTGCATCAAAAGTACATCTGATGAACTAGAAGCTGTTGCTCTTTGGGGAAACTGCTGTTTCCCATGAGGAACATTAGGATAACTGCAAGTATCTAATGTGCCTGTATTCAAAGTTCCTCTGGAACCACCTCTGGTGATGGAGTTCTTCTTTTAAGTGAGCTATCATGATTTGTGGACACTATAACTACAGAGCTCGGGTGGATGACCCTGGCCTCCTGCAGATCCCTCAGGATCCTTGAGACCAGCCCCATGGCTATAGGGATCCTCTCAGAGATTTCTTCCCTCTTAGCAGTCTTCTGTGGGTTTTACCATGAGAGTGAATGATCTGGACCTTTTCAGTAACTCTGAAATTGAAATGCAAAACCTATCACTCATGGACATCATGTTGCTATGACCCTGAGGAACTTTGGGGCTGTAACACATGTGGACGGAATAGATTTCCGTAGTGTTTTACCTGTGACATTTAAAGAATGGATACTACTCTTCAGGTTTGCTTCACTGATTCAGAACAGATTAATGGAATTTCCTATGCAAAGTTTGAAAGGAGGTTAAAGGATTTTGGACATGTAGCTTAGTGAAGTGAAAGGCATGTCACGTACTATGAAAGTACTATCCCTACTGCAAAACACCACAGTGTATGGTGAGAGGGGAGGGGAACGTGTGCATGCAAAACTGTGAAATGAAAACAGCAATAATTTTTGAATGAAATTCTGTGAAACAAGAATTGTGAATTTTGCACAGTTCTAAGTGCATAACTGTCCTGGTGCGGTCTTGCAGAATCACCATGTTTATTAGTCCATGCACAAAATTAACTCAGCCATCTTTATGATAATGAGGAAAAAATTAATGATACTTTACTTTTGTGTCAGGAAAAAAATATTACTACCCAAAACTAATCTGGGAAGTAAAGTTTTGCAAGTTTGTCACAGTCACCAAGTATTAAAAGGTAAGATAAGAATGTGTACTGAAGTGCTTACTACAGAGAAAAGGAGATTTTGCTAAAGCATCCAAACCAACATAAATCAGGTCTGTGTTCTCTCAGTAATATGTTGTTAAAGTCAAGAACAGATCAGATAGTACTTAGATCTTTCAAAAATAAAGCTACTAGGATCTAAACATCTCACTAAAGACCACAGAAATTCATATTTAGACTGCCACTTTGGAACAAAATGCAGAGTTTGCTATCTGTATGGAAATATAGAGTATGTACTCTGCATTAGAACTCCTATCCTCTATATCATGAGTTTCATCTTGCCAAAAAATCCAAACCCTAATTTAAAAACAATTATATTTTGAAAAATTTAAATCTCTCCTCCCCCCCCCCCCCCCAAACAAGTAATACAACTTTGAAACTGTTAGTCCATGATGTAACAAATAAGAATAGATTTTTATTTAGGTTTCTAAACACTGAGTTACACTTCTTTAAAATGGTACAGTATTAAATAAATTTCACTCATTGGCCAGCTGTGTGTAAATTGCGATAACAAGAAATTTACCCTGACTTACTTTGAATAACTGTGGCAATTGAAATGAACAGGTAACTTAACTTACGTGATAAAGTTCAGAAACGTGGCAAGTGGCTCAAAGGCGTGGTTTCTAAAGTATTGAAATTCTGTGAGTAATTTGGCTTTCAGTTTGTCATCGATGGTGGAAACAGTGAGAGGGCCAGTTTCATTGGCCAAGAAGTTGCCATAGTCTGTGGTCTGTAGATGTAACTTCAAGTCTACAAATAGATTCAGAAGAGACTATGAGAATAAACTGTCACAACACTAGAAATGGAACCAACTGGAATAACTTTACATGTTTCAGTGCTTTTACCCTATATTTCCATATTAAAACTTGATTATCTTCCAGTGAAGTCAAAGGGAATTTTGTCATTATCTTCATTTAGAGCAAGTGCAGGGCTAGCACAAATTTGCACCTCCTTTTCCTAACCAGGCTTTTTTACATACCATAGGAGATTACAAATTATATGTCACTCCTCAGAAGTTGTATTAGGGCAGGGCTGCCATAATCTCCATAGAGTCACACCAGTGATGCTGCAGTGGTGATGGGCTGAAACAGCACATTCTCCCACCTGCTCTACCTCACCCCCTCCCCAGTCAACTTTATTCACTATTTTGGCTGTGCTGTCTTCCGGAGCGTGCTGTTGCACCACCGTAACCTACCTTCAGTTGACTTTCTGTCTGCAGAGCTCCTGGTTTATGTGGGTAGAAGCTGAGATAAACGAGGAGTGAATCTGACCCTATAACTTTATTAGAGAATTCTTCCGTTGTTCAGATGGATTATTTACATCTTAAGGAGGACTATGTTCTTATATATGTGAAGATATATCAACACTCAGATGTATACTTGTAATGGTACTGCTTAGCCCAGAAATGGGCTCCAGCCAAGTTCTGTACAGCACAGCTCAAGAGAAGTCACTCTTATGCTCTTCGGACATTTGGGCTCTGACCTTTGGACTTTTCTAACTTCTGCTGTTAGCAGCTCCAAAGGGGCTATTCTAGAAGCTAGGTCATGGACATAGGAAAATCCTGTCCATGCTTCCTGCACTGGGAGGGTCTGCGGAAGTCTCTACAGCAACCCTGTGCCACCAAAGGATTCCCAATATGAGTTCCCTTAACTATTGTCCCCTGGCTTTATGATCATTTTCCACTACCGGTGGCAGAACAAGCAATTTGGATTTATTTTTAGTATTCAGACCTGTTTAGCATTCATTCCCTTAAAAAATAAAAAAATAAAACGCCACTGGCATATTCTAAAATAATAGCTTCATATGCTTTAAGTGATAGAGTTTGGGATAATGTGTTTTTTGTGATTCACAATTATTACATTTACAAATCAATTCCGAAGTGGTGGTTAGCAAAAAGTAGACTTGCTATAGTACCTGATAACATAGCCTTTCTGAATACTGTACAAATTTTCTGTTGAGCTCAATAAGACTGCCATACACAGAGTAACCACCAGACTGGGCTCATTATAGTGATCACATTCAACACACTCCTTTTGTCAAACTAACTCAGTCCGGTTAGTACCTGTGCATCTGCCAGTGTTTCTCTAGGTCTTCCTGCACCAGACTGAATGCGGCCAGTATAAACTAATTCCTTATGAAGGAAATCATGTTAAACAAGTCTTTACAGAGTTAAACACAAGATTCTGTTGACAAAACATTTGTAAAGGTTATGTCCTTTCAAGCACATAGACAATGGAGTCGGATAACTAGAAGTATTCAGAGTGCTGCAGTACAGGTTTCTTTTCTAACTGAAAAAATACTCATCTTAATCTCTAGTTTAATCTCTAGATCGAGGAAAAATATAAGCATGGTAAAACAATCCGACATAAATATAATTATGCTTAAAATCAAGTCTAAATATATTAAAAAGCTTTTTATACTCACCCATATTTTGTATCACATACCTACATTTTCTATGAAGATGAAAAGTGATAATTTAGCTTTCCTTTTTTTTTTTTTTTTAATGTATCAAACAAATATGTAGGGGTTAGAGTACATTACTGTGTCAGAGAGGAATAGGAATCAAGCTTCCTGTGATCTATTTCCAACTTTGCCACTGACTCATTTGCCTTTATTTACTCCTCACAAATGCATTCCTAGCACCTTGGGATACAGCCACTTTTAAGGGGCCTTCCTCTCTGCGTGAGGTAGCTAGTCAACCCCTACTGCATAACCCAGACACCACTCTCAAGTATCAAGCTCTGCAAAGAGCTGTTAACATACTTCACTGATAAGATTATCAGAATATGTATTGTATGCAGTGTTGTTGTAGCCATGTTAACCCTAGGATATTAAAGAGACAAGGTGGGTGAAGTAATATCTTTTATTGGACCAACTTCTGTTGGTGTGAGAGACAAGCTTTTGAGTTTTCACAGAGCTCTTCAGGTATCGGAAACTAACAAGTGTCAGTGCTAAATACAAGGTTTGAACAGATTATTTAGAATAAGTAATTAACACATGTTTCAAGGTGAAGTGGCCTGTTAACACCCCATCGGTCACAGGGAGGAAAGGGAAGGAGAGAAGTTGCTGGGGGAGTTGTTAGTGGGTTACAGATTGCTGCAATAAAAATAAATCCAATGTTTCTAATTAGTCCATGATTTTTGGTATCTAGAAAAGTTAGGAATGTAAGCTCCCAAGCTTGTCTTTTGAAAGTGTTGTGAAAGTTTCCTTTGAGGAGCAGGACTGATAGGTCAGATACAGAGTCATCACTTTTGCTACAAGTGTTCGCCCACAGGTGATAGCGTGTTTTTGGCTATGTCTACACTAGAGACCTAATAGCAGCACAGCTGTATCGCTGCAGCTGCACCACTGTAAGGTCTCCCATGTAGCCGCTCTATACCAACAGGAGAGAGCTCTCCTGCCAGCATAATTAAACCACCCCAATGAGTGGCAGTAGCTATGTTGGTGGGAGAGTATCTCCTGCAGACATAGCACTGTCCACACTGGCGCTGCTGTCGGTGAAACTTACGTCAGTCTGGGGTGGGGTTTTTTCACACCCTGACCAACAAGTTTTACCGACAAAAGTACTGGTGTAGATATAGTCTTTGTCTTCTATCATTTTCCTGTAAGAGTTCATTCAAGAGTGTAGTGATTGTCTGGTTTCACCCACATAGTTGCTATTGGGACATTTAGTGCACTGGATGAGGTACATCAGAGGTTGTGACAAGGGTGGTTAGGACCCATGGATCTTCAAAGGTGTGTTGTGGGGTGAGGGTTTTGCAGTGAAGATACGTCTGCAATTTTGCATCTGTTGTTCTGGTGGGGTGTGGTGCTGCTTTGTGATAGTGTGTCCTGGTCTATGGGGAGGTTGTTTCTGACAATTAGCTTGGAGAGGTGGGGGACTTGTTTGAAGGTCAGAAGGAGTAGTTCAGGAAAGACTTTTTTCAGGATGGGGTCCCTGTCAAGTAATGGTTGTAGTTGTAGAATATGTATTGAGCTAACTGGGAAAGAAAATTCCTCCTGTGACCAGATTGTATTATCTGCCCCATCACTGCTGACTGAGTTTGGCCTCATCACGAGTTTGGCCTTTCAGAAACTCTGAAAAATTATTAAAGTAACAAACCTATTAAATGGATCCCCGCTCCTCTTGGCTGGTAAAAGCCAGAGAACAGTAGCTATGCCCACTACTAATGGAAATAGTGACTCCTTCAGAGAAGCACATTAACCCCAAATTACTTGAAAAAATTCAATAATTCATCTAATCCTCAGGAAGCCAACACTTGACCCGGAGGAGCTCTCCACTATTGTCCAGTCTCCAACCTCCAGTTCCTGGGCAAAATAATTGAGCAAGTAGTAACCATCAAGCTCCAACAACACGTGACATTGGCCAACATCTTCGTTGCCTCACAATCAATGTTCAGACCAGGGGAGAGCAAGGAGACTACTGTCAAAGCATTAAAAGACTCTCTCCTCATGGCCATGGACACAGGATAAGATCTCAGTGCCCATACTGCTGGACGCTACATACAGGGACCTATATCCCTTCAGCTTTGACACAGTGGACCCAAAGTATTACTAATACACCTCCATGATATAATGAGCATATGGCCCACCACTACAGAGACTCCAATCATTCCTTTCCAGCAGAACTCAGAGAGTGGTGATGAGTAACTGCTCCTTCACTCTAAAACCCCTCATCTGCAGGGTCCCATAGGAACCCACACCATTTATTCCTTTCAATATCTACATGAAACCATTGGAGGAGAGAGAGGAAGATGCCATGCCCTTAAGTTTCCACTATAAGTGATGCTCACAATTCAAACACCTGTTTTTATTCACAGACCTCTTGCAACTTTCCACCTCCCCCCAAAAAACTGTGCCTCAAGCAGAGTTCTGACCCCGTAAAGAAAGAAGTGTCAGACTACATGAAGTCTAGTAGGGACTTTGCTATCGCTATTGATTTTTATGCTGAAGGTGCTCATATGCTATGGTGCTGATTAACAGTATAAAACTCTAAGATAGGTAGGGAGAGCAAAAGCAATAGGATGTTCTTCCTATGGAGGTCTACCTTAAGCTGCAGCTGGGACTCCATTGAAGTGGATTCCCTGGGAACTGCCCCGAAAAAGCTCGGAATCAGCACATCTGTCTATCTTCCGTATTTTATATTGTCCCCATTACTGTAGCATCTGAGCGCCTCACAGTCTTGAATGTGTTTGTTGTCCCAACTCCCTTGTGAGATCAGAAAGTACTATTATGCCCATTTTACTGATGGGGACATCATCTGGCTCTGGTTGGACTTTCTGCTGCTAAGGTCACAACCTATATTGGGACAGGATAAATTACTTTGAGGGCCTACTCTCATTGATGTTAATGGGAGCAGAATTGGGCCCCTAATACTTCTGTGACTTAGCTACCTACCTATGAAATAAGAAATTATTGTTATCCTCTTTGCATATAGTTATTTTGAGGGTAAAATATTGAGGGTGAGACCCTCGCCAATGTGCCAGCTCCTATACTTTGGGTAAAAGGGCCAGAATGGCATAAGGGGACCCTAAAAGCCCCAGTTGAGGCTGGAAAAGGATTTCCCTCAGCACAGCTACTGTGACGACAACCATAAGGCTTCCAATGACCCAATCATAAGCCCTGTGATCAATTTTTGAAAAGATTGGGTATTTTTTTAAATGTCTGAAAAATAAGATTTTTCTCAAAGTGAGGAATTTCTTCACTCTTTGAGAAAACAGCTATGGAGCTAATTTATACTCCAAGGAAACTCAGGGAACATCACCTGTTTGTCTCCTGGAGAGCACAGAAGACATAAGGAAGAAAGAGCACTGGGTTTAATAACTTAGTCATTTTGTCAGTTATTTCTCTCAGCATTTTGAAGTAGAGCTTGTACATTCATTGAGCAGGAGATATTTGTCTCATGGAAATTACTTGCTGTAGCAGGAATATATCTGTAGAATTGGTAAGTTCCTTAGGGCATATTTACTAGTACAAAGAGGTTACAGGAACTGGTCACACTTCCAAGCTATTATAAGATCCACTAGCCCAGCCTTGTGTAAGGAGGGAGGAATGAGCATTGTTGTGGGCAAGTTTCAGCTTCCTCTCCTGTCCTACCAATTCTGCTACCATCACTGTAGAAGCAAAGCTGCTAATTTTCCAGACACAATGAATTTGCATTTCTAGTCATTATGCTGATAATTTGACCTAACAGAATTCCTAAGTGTAAAAGATTTTGGTTAATAATTGCAGTTATTATTCTCAGATACAGAAGAAAGCCTGTGTTCATTTATTTGCAAAAGAAATTTTCTGCTTGTAAGTTGTTTTTTTCAGAAATGCCTGGAGAGGGATCATCTCCTTATCTATTCTCACAAATCTGCATGATCTAGTCTGTGGCCAGTCTGACCCGCAGAAAAGCTGCTTTGGAAACAGCTGCATGTTCCCTTCTCCTCTGCAACAAAGTCACCTTCACAAAAGCCTTTCTTCATTTAAGAGTAATGCAAATTTATCTCCCTAAAACCCAGTTTTTCTCCTTTAAAGAGGAAAGTCTCTTAAAGATCTAAAAACCATGCAGTAACACAGTAACATCCTATGGAAAAATCTATGGATTTTGGAACCAAATTATAAGCTTTTTCCAGGTTTTGTGAACCATCCTATACAGATATATAATTTTGTATAGTATGGCGAAAAATTTATAAGTAGGGTATCAATCTCTTTGAAAATCTCAGCCTATAGATGTATTGAGTAAATTCTATAGAACCATATTGACTTCACTCCTATTAAATTCTCTAGGACGTTTCCAAAAGGGAAAAACAGGATTATTACTTGCTTTCAATAATATTATACCTTATCATCTTTCTTTTTCTGATCTGTCTCTTTTTTAACTTTCATCAGTGATCTAGCCAACAGTATTTGTTCGTTTACCTTATCGAGAGACAGACTCACCTTCCAGTGTTTCACATTGCACTAGGTTGATGTAGTCTGCATTGGTCAAGATCCCAGCTTTAAAACCTCGGACCAGCCCCTCCAGGTAGCCATGGTCCACATTGAAGTAAAACTCTGAGTACCCCGTCATGGAGATAAAGAGGGCTCAATCTCTGTGCTGTTTTGTGGAAGTGACAACCTTGAGTACTAAGTCTTGTGCTTCTCTTCTGAAGGTGATGACCAATAGTCACTAATTTCCAGTCAGCTCGTGGTTGGGTTTTACTGACTTGTTTCTTCCTGTTTATTGCTCCCAGTGTAGTTGGCTGCACTTTGCGTGATGCTTACAAAACACCAGCTAATCAGCCAGACAACAAATCTAACTCCTTCCTGTCAGAATCAGAACTGGGATCTACTATGGGCTAAGGAGAGACAGAAGAGGGGGAAAGGATTTAACCACTTTTTACATAAAATGATTTGGAGCTGGACTTAGAATGTTCAATCAAACTTGAATTGGATTTTCATCCTTCTTGAATATATTAGGGCCAGGTCTTTTTAGGTCATCTCTGATCACATATTGAACAATGATTGCACTAAATTGCCTGAATGCAGATGCTGCCATTCAAGAAACTCATATAATCTGAAAATGTCTCTTTTTACAAAAGAAAGAATTGTCTTTTGCACTCCAATATAGAGAACAATGTGTAAAAAATGCAAGATTACTATCCTGATTTCCTACCTCATCCTGAGGTGTGATGGGGTATACAAAGCCTGCACTGGTGAGGAAAGGGTTAATGACCTCCTTTGGCTTAATCAGTCCTGCCCTGCTACACCTGCCATGGGTGTCAGGCTTGGACAGAGTAGTTAAAAGGGAAAAACACAACTCAACTGGGGGCTGACTGGGAAGAAGATCAGATCTCCAGCTCTCACTCTGAGGGTATATCTACACTACGAGAGTAGTTCGATTTTACTTAAATCGAATTAGTGGAACCGATATTACAAAGTCGAATGTGTGTATCCACACTAAGAACAGTAATTCGATTTTGTGAGTCCACACTAACGGGGCAAGCGTCAACATTGGAAGCGGTGCACTGTGGGCAGCTATCCCACAGTTCCCGCAGTCCCCGCTGCCCATTGGAATTCTGGGTCAAGCCCCGAATGCCTGCTGGGGAAAAAAATGTGTTGAGGGTGGTTTTGGGTAACTGTCGTCATTCAACCGTCACTCCCGCCCTCCCTCCCTGAAAGCGCCGGCGGGCAATCAGTTCGCGCACTTTTCTGGTGAGTGACAGCGCGGACGCCACAGCACTGCGAGCATGGAGCCCGCTGCGACCATCACTGCAGTTATGGCCGTTGTCAACACCTCGCACCTTATCATCCACCTTTTTCAGAGGCAGATGCTGAGAAATCGGGCGAGGAGGCTACGGCAGCGCGGTGAGGACATGAAGTCTGAGAGTGGCACAGACCTCTCGCAAAGCACGGGACCCCGCACCGTGGACATCATGGTGGCAATGAGTCATGTTGATGCTGTGGAACGGCGATTCTGGGCCCGGGAAACAAGCACGGACTGGTGGGACCGCATAGTGCTGCAGGTCTGGGATGAATCACAGTGGCTGCGAAACTTTCGCATGCGTAAGGGAACTTTCCTGGAACTTTGTGAGTTGCTATCCCCTGCCCTGAAGCGCAAGGACACCCGGATGCGAGCAGCCCTGACTGTCCAGAAGCGAGTGGCCATAGCCCTCAGGAAGCTTGCAACGCCAGACAGCTATCGGTCAGTCGCGAACCACTTTGGCGTGGGCAAATCTACCGTGGGGGTTGCTGTGATGCAAGTAGCCAACGCAATCATTGAGCTACTGCTCTCAAAGGTAGTGACCCTGGGAAACGTGCAGGTCATCATAGATGGCTTCGCCGCGATGGGATTCCCAAACTGCGGTGGGGCTATAGATGGAACTCACATTCCTATCCTGGGACCGGACCACCAGGCCAACCAGTACATTAACAGAAAGGGCTACTTTTCAATGGTGCTGCAAGCACTGGTGGACCATAGGGGACGTTTTACCAACATCGGATGGCCGGGCAAGGTTCATGATGCTCGTGTTTTCAGGAACTCTGGTCTGTTTAGATGGCTGCAGGAAGGTATTTACTTCCCGGACCACAAAATAACTGTTGGGGATGTGGAGATGCCTATAGTGATCCTCGGGGACCCAGCCTACCCGCTAATGCCCTGGCTCATGAAGCCCTATACAGGCGCCCTGGACAGTGAAAAAGAACTCTTCAACTACCGGCTGAGCAAGTGCAGAATGGTGGTGGAGTGTGCTTTTGGACATCTCAAGGGGAGATGGAGAAGCTTACTGACTCGCTCTGATCTCAGCGAAACCAATATCCCCATTGTTGTTGCAGCTTGCTGTGTGCTCCACAATCTCTGTGAGAGCAAGGGGGAGACGTTTATGGCAGGGTGGGAGGTTGAGGCACATCGCCTGGCTGCTGATTACGCCCAGCCAGACAGTCGGGCGATTAGAAGAGCCCAGCGGGACGCGCTGTGCATCCGGGAGGCTTTGAAAGCTAGGTTCCACAGTGAGCAGGGTAACCTGTGACTATTAAGTTTGTTTAAAGAGACGCTGAACCTGACCCCGTTTCTTTACCCATTTAATGTTGACTATCCTCTCCAGTTACATACCCCCTTCACCCCGTTGCCCCCCTTCCAACACACCTTTAAAAATAAAATAAATGGAACTTTGTTCATTAACACCATTTTCTTTATTAAGGGTTTTGTGGTAAAGGGTTGAAACTTGGACGCAGACTGTGGTGGGGAGTGGGTGTGGTGATGGAAAGGACGCTTCTAAACTCGAGGAATGACAGGCTCCTGCTCCTAGAGCGGTCCGCAGTGGTGGACTGGTTGTTTCAACGGAGCCTGCCACCCCTCCTTTTCGGGACTCTGTGTGTGGGGGCTATGTGACTTTGTGGCGGGGGAGGACGGTTACAGATCCCCTGCTGCATGGCTCTGTCATCCAGGCTAAGGATCGGTGCATAAGATCTGTAACCGCCCTCCCCCGCCACAAACTCACATTACCCCCCCTCCCCCAGAACATGAAAACCACCTCCCAGACTGACCAGGGTGCCTAGTGACTGCAATGTGTGTGTGTGTGACCTGCAGCAGAACCTGCCCCCGTGTCTGTACCCTGGTAAAGGTGACTGTCCTCTCCAATTACCAACCTCCTTTCCCCCCTTCAGACACACTCTCCTCTAAAAGAACCTGACGGAAACAGTAATTAACAGAAACATATTTTTTATTAACAACCACACAGTTAGGGGATGACACTGGGATGGGGGCTTGGGTGAGGTGCTTTTGGAGTGAAGGAAAGGACTTATCAAAACTTTGGGAATGAGAGCCGTCTGGTACTTGAGCAGTCTGCAGGGGTGGAGTGACTGTTTTCACGGCCCCTGCCGCCCCTCCTTCTTGGGACTTTGGGTGAGGGGGGGATGGGACTTTGTGGCGGGGGAGGGCGGTTAGAGATAGACTGCAGCGGGGCTCTGTCCTCCTGCCTCTGGTCCTGCAGAACATCTACAAGGCGCCGGAGCGTGTCCGTTTGCTCCCTCATTAGTCCAAGCAGCGTTTGAGTCGCCTGCTGGTCTTCCTGCCGCCACCTGTCTTCTCGTTCGCTGTGTGATCGCTGGTATTGCGACATGTTCTCCCTCCACTGGGTCTGCTGTGCCGCCTCGGCTAGGGAGCAGCCCATAAGTTCGGAGAACATCTCGTCCCGTGTCCTTCTCTTTCGGCGCCTAATCTGCGCCAGCCTCTGGGAGAGGGATGCCGGGGTAGGTCGGGAGACACTCGCAGCTGTGGGATGGGAAAAAGGGAGTGAATTCCTCACAAAGATATATTTTTGTGAACAATGAACATAGTCTTTCTCTGTGAACAAGACCATGCACAGCACCTATCACATGCGCACTCAGGACAAGGTCGAATTTTCGGCCTTCCCATTCAGTGCCTGGGGTCTTGGAGTACAGATCACACAAGCGGGGCAGGACAGCGGAATTCGGGTAGCAGACGGACATGGTAAGCCGTAGACTTTTGGCTGCTGAAAGCTTAATTTATAGCAGTGCCCTCCTTTCACGTTCAAAGCAATGCCCAAAGCGTTGGCTGGTTCCTGCTGCCGGCAATCCGGCCAGCATGAACTCTGCCCCTGTCCCACCCCCCTCGCGGCTGTCCCCGGGAAAGATCCCTGTATGCTGCCCCTGTCCCGCCTCCACCGCGTGGCTGTAAACCGCCGGTTACACTTATGTAAAGGAACAGGCAATCAGTCCCAATACTAACATTCCCCTAATTTAAAGCAGGTCACCATGAGTGATATCACTCTGATGAGGATCTCGGACACAGAGAAAGACCGCATGGTGCGTGAATGCCAGCAAAAACCAGGGCCGTATGCGGCCATGCTGTGCGAGGCACTGATCCCGGAGTACTTGCTGCTAGCCTGGCGCGGAAAAGTTTCCTACCATGGAGGACACAATAAGGCCGCTCTCCCCAGGAACCTAATGCAAAGGCTTTCAAATTACCTCCAGGAGAGCTTCGTGGAGATGTCCCAGGAGGATTTCTGCTCTATCCCCGGACATATTGACAGAATTTTCCAGTAGCTGCACTGGCAAGGACTAAAAAGTAGAGCGCCTAGGGCAAAGTAATCATGCAAAACCGGACATTTTGAGATACTTTTGCAGTAGTTGCACTGGCAAGGACTAAAAAGTAAAGCGCCTAGAGCAAAGTAATCATGAAAAACCCATTGTTAATATTCCATTCCTGTTCTGATCAAAATAAATGTTTACATGTTTAAAACACTTACCGACTGATCCTTCCCCTGATTCAGGGTCAGGGTTAACGCCTTGGGAGGGTTGGTAAGGGATCTCCGTGAGGGTGATGAAGAGATCCTGGCTGTTGGGGAAATCAGCGTTGTATGCGCTGTCGACTGCCTCGTCCTCCTCATCTCCTTCCTCATCTTCCCCATCCACGAACATCTCCGAGGAAGCGGCCGTCAACAATACCCCATCATCAGAGTCCACGGTCAGTGGCGGGGTAGTGGTGGCGGCCGCACCTAGAATGGAATGCAGTGCCTTGTAGAAACGGCATGTCTGGGGCTGGGATCCGGAGCGTCCGTTTGCCTCTTT